ACGAAATGAGCACGGTGGTGCCGGCGCAGACCTTGTCAAGGGAGCTGGGGCTGGCAATGTCCGCAGAAAGCACGGCGACGTCCAGGCCAAGCTCCTTCTTTAGTGCATCCAGCTTCTCTTTACTGCGGCCCGCAATCGCCCAGGGTCCCACTTTGCCCGGGCCAAGCCGTGCAAGGTACTCACAGACCAGTTTCCCAGTGTAGCCTGTGGCCCCAAGAACGACCAGTGAGAATTTCCTTGACATTTGCTTCTTGATAACGGTGTAGTAAACTAGTAAAAGCAATTTTTTGTTTTTGTTTTCGGAGTTACCACTTTCTTTCAAGCCGATTTGGAGCAAAGTGGCCACAAACCATGAGGTAGGAAAAAAAACAACAACGGCGACAACAGAGGATTTCAAGCGCTGACACTTTACCACCCATAAGTGGAACCACAGCACATGAGTGGGTCCGTCCCCTCGCTCCTTGATAGACCGCGAACAGAGTCACTTCCTTTAGGGCTTCGAACGCCACACAGGAGCCTCACTCCCCTCTTTTCTCATTTTTGGACTCCCCATTCTCCCGTTGCGCAATTCCATGCCATTAACATTTTATTGCCTCTGCGCGGCGTCATGTGTTTCTTTCACGCGTGACTGTCCGACATTCGTCTCCCCGGAGCACGGCCCACCGGGGCCCAATGGAGCGAATCAGCAGCAAGAACAGGAGCGACTGCCTCAAAAGAAGCCGCAAGGCCAATGAGGAGAAACTCGCCCATTACCACAGAGACCTCTTCTGCCCCGGCGTTCTCCTCGCAAGCCCCCCGTGACACCCACGAGTAACAGCGAGAGCAGCAAGATAGTGGGAACGGCGGCGCGGAGATGAAATGTGCGCCTGCAGCGGGAGTTCATTGGGCAAATGCGGCGGGGCAAACTTTCATGCGGGTGGCACTCCCCACCCCCATTCCATTGTGTCAGGGTTCTTAACGATATGAAATATATATATATATATAATGTGGCAAAATCAGAACCCCCAAGTATGAACTGTGTAGAGAGAAAAGGGGTGTTCTCTCTACGCAAAATATTCAAATCTATCTCCACTTTTGCCGAGCCACAAGCCTCCATCTCCGCTGTAAGCTTTTGCAGCTGGTCGTCCCCGCGGGGGAGCTCCAATAGCAGGTCCCCATGCTTGGCGTTTGCGCGCGCGGAAACCGGCACAGCAATCTGCTCTTCCAGATGCACCTCGTTTTCCTCTGGGGCATCCGTCAAGAGAGGAGCTCGTCAAATTCGCCGGCGCTCCGCTTCCTGACCTCCTCGTCCACGGCACAAATGCCCATAACTGGCCAGCAGCACTGCCCCCCAAAGAAAATAGGCAAATTGAACCTCCACAGCACACACACACACACACACACGCACGCGCGCCCACCACTCTACGAAGGATGAGACCAAACAAGAAGAAGCGGCGCAACAGTGAGCGGGTCCGCAGCAGAGCGCCGCCACGGGAAGATCCCCGCAATACCGCATGGGACGGGCATACGACCGGACACAACACACACAAATGAAGATAATAACAACAACAATAATAGAGATTGAAGTGACGTGGATCTAAAGAAACTCCCCTTCCCTCCCGAAAAAGAAAAACAAAAAAGACAAAAATAAAATCTATTTCAATCATCAGAAACACTCACAAAGAGAAGAATGTGCACCACCGTGTAATCACCACTGTGAGGCTGGGAATAGTGCAAATACAAACTGCACCGAAGCGCCCTTCACCCATCCCATCCCATCCCATCCCAGGGGTATTGCCCCAGAGTGCAAGCAATTCCCCCTTTTTCCGGTGGCAGTTGTTTTTCTATTTCTATCACACTGGGCGTGTTTCTTCTTCTTCCTCCGCGGGCTACCGTTTCCGGTATTGATTGTGAATGCTCTCTCGCATGCGCGAGATGCCGTTCTGCATCTTGCGCAGCTCCTCTGTCTTGGCTCGGAGCCTTGCACGTTCCCGCTCTAACTGCGCCTCGTCCCTCTGCCGCGTGTCGCGGTGCATCGCCACACGTGTTTCGTGCTCAGCGGCATCACGGTCCATTTTTTCCCTTGACTCCTCCCATCGCTCCTTTGCGTCGGAGAGCTGTTGCCTTTGGTTGACCAACTTCTGCTTGGCCTCCTTGAGCGCCAGCTCCGCCTGATGCAGCGCCTCCGTGAGAGACGACTCCCGCCTGGCGACGGCGTCGACGACGCTGGCCAAAAAACTCACGGCCGCGGAGGGGAGGGAGACGACGTCCTCCTTTTGCCCGCCGAGCTCGGCGAGGAGGAGCTCCCGCTGCGCGCTCCAGGGGTCCTCCGTCGGTGCCGCCGCAGTCGACTGGCGCAGCTCCTGCGATGGCGTCTCCACGTTGGAAAAGAGGAGTGGCTCGTCTTCACGATACAGGCGTGCGTCCTCTAGCAGAGCCGCCTCGCGCTCAAGCAGCTCCGCAAGCACACGCTCCTTCTCAGCCCGCTCTGCCTCCTCCCAGGATTGTCGAGAGTCGAAGTAGAGCTGCTCTGTGGCCTCTGAGCAAAGACGCAGAAGCACAGTACGCTGACTTTCTTCGATCGCCACAACCTCACAAATGCGTGCCTTGAGCAGCTCCTGTGCCTCTCGTGTAAAAAAGCTCTCCTGGAGATGCATCTGTGTAGCAATGCTCTCACGGTGGCGCACCTCCTGCTGGAGAACGTACGTACGGCACTCTGTTTCAGCATTCCACATCTCAAGCATCCGCCGGTGGTTTTCTTCGTGGGTGGCCCTTTCCCTGTCATCCTCAAAAAGTCGCCTCATGAGAGTCACAGCCTTGGCTTCCTCCTCCAAAATATCACGCAACACCTGCAGCGCCTTCTGCTGAAATGCCTTCTGCTTCTCAATTCGTTCATGCATGATAGTTTGGCAGGCGTCCCGCCATGTGTCAAAGCGCCAGCTGAGTTCTTCTCTGGCAGCGTGCTCTGCTTCTACCGTGTGAATGCGGTGCGTCGTCTCCTCTGCTATGAGGGACTGTCGCACGAACTCCTTCTGCTCAATCCAGCGACGCACGGCGTCTTCTTGCTCCGCCTTGCGTGACACCAGCGCAAAACGATGCTCATGCTCCTGCAGACGTATTTCCCCCTTTTGGCCGAGCGCCGTATCCGCAAGCTCCCGCAGCATGCGTGACTTGTGTTGAAGCCACGCCGCAACTCCCACCTCTGCCTCTCGCATCGCAGTCAGGGCTGCGTGTCGCGCCGCGCCCTCTTCCTCCGCCACTAACCGCAGGTGGTGGAAGGCCACCTCCTCCAGTTCATTGCGCTGCTGCTTCTTTTCCAAACTCCACTGCTGGCGCAGGTCCCTCTCGCGACGCTCCTGTGCGTTGAGTGAGGCGAAGACAGCGGCCTCCTCCTCGGCGAGGCTCCTTAAGTGGTGAATGGCCGCGCGAAGCGCCGCCCCGCGTTGCTCGTACTTTAACTGCTCCACCTCCAGAGCCTCCTTGGCGCCGTCCCTAAAGAACAACCACAACGCATTGCAGGCAGCCACCTCGTCCTGCAGGATGGCATCGCGAGCGCCGGCTTCTTCTTGCGCAAAGGCGCCGCGCTGCGCTTCACGTACTCGCACCTGCGTCAGCACGGCGTGGAGCTCTTCTCGTGCAAGCGCGCACAGACGCAGTCTGCTTTCTTCCTCCTCCGCGCCAAGCTCGGCCTTCTGTCGCTCACACAACTCGCATACCTCACCTCTTCCTTGCATCATCCACGCAAGCCGGCGCTGATCCGTCGCAATAGCGCTCTGAAGGACCTCCACGTCTCCCCGCCACTCCGCCGCGAGCTGCTCACGCCGTTCCCAGAATGCTTCGTAGAGGGCGCGACGCTCCTTCGCGTCGGCGTCCATGCGGTTTAAGAGATCAAAGTTGTGGCTCCTGAGCGCCGCATGCGCCGCCGCCTCGTGGTTCACGAGAGCGTCACGAAACGCCGCCTCGCGGCTTTGCAAACTGAGAAGGTAAAACATTGCGCCATGCCACGCCAGTAGCACCTGCGCCTCCCTTTGCGCCGCGGCACACAACTGCCCTCTTTCCTCGCGCTCGTGGCCGGCGATGGCGAACAAGACAATGTGAAGATCCCCAGCGGCCATCCTCTCTGACCGTGCCTTGCGCTCCGCCGCCAGCAACGCCTCACGGCTCGCCGTCTCTTGCAGCAGCAGAAGAAGAGTGCGGCGGTGCGTGAAGGCCGCGTGCCTCATCGACTCCACCCCATCGCCCCAGCGATCCACCAGACGACGACGGTACTTTGACTCCTCCCGCGAAAGCTCGTCTAGTGCTCTAAGCTGCTTGCAGCGAACGTACGGCGTGTGCAGGAGCATGCTGTCGAGCTTCCGCCGCTTGAGTTGGGGGTCAAGCCTAGTTTTTTTGCAGTCGCACATGGACCCAAGTCGCCCGCACGCGAGGCAGCGACTGTTGGAGGCAATTTGCCACCCGCTCGAGCCCCCGCAGGCCGGCTCACTTCTCTGCCTCCGCTTGCGATTTTCTTTTCCATCGTCCTCCGGCCGCCCTGCGCCGCGGGAGTCCGACATTCAGTGCCGCTGTTGCTACTCCCCTCTTCTTCCCCTTCCTTTTTGGGCGTAAGCGCAGGAAAAAAAAAGGTGTGGGTGGTATGTCTGCTTCATCGGCGTGTGCCCACACAACTGCGTTGTTTTGGACGATGACGACGACGACGACGACGACGACGACAGCGGCGTCGCACGGGCTCCCGCGCAACAGGGGGCGCGGCACTGAGGAGCAACGAGACCGGCAGGGAATATCACACGAAGCGGGAGGAGCACGGCACGGCCAATGCGCAGGCAACTACACACGTATACATGGAAAATAACAAGCAAACAATAAAAAAAAAAAGAAACACACACAAAAAAAAGAAGAACAAACAAGCAAACAACTTTCACGGCATCCTTCTAAATGCCACTTCTAATAACTGTTCCTCGTCATTGTTATTTTTTTTCTTTCATGCTAGTATTACTCTCGCTCTTGCCGTTATTCTTGGTGTTGGCTTGCTCGCCTTCCGCGCCAGGTTGTGCGCGGCGCGCCCAGAAGCCCTGGGTGCGGTTCCCCCCTCCCCCATGCCCAGCACTCTACGGATTTGTCTCAAACTCCTTCTTCCACGACTCAAACTTCTTGATTTGCTCAACGTTGATGCTGCTGGGGACGTTCTTCACCGCCCCCAGGAAATCCTGCATCGTAATGGGCTTCTCCGACACGAGTTTGCTTATCTCCGCCGCCCGTCGCTTAAGCTCGGACTTGTCCATCTCCTCCATCAGACGCCGCATTGTCATCATGGCTGCGTCCCGCACCAAATTGGTGATGTCGGCGCAGCTGTAGTGGCGCCCCTGCAGCAGCTTGGAGAGGTGCACAAAGTCAACGTCGGGGGACAGACTAAGGGACTTGGTGTTGATCCGAAATAACTCCATGCGATCGTCAAAGTTGGGAAGAGGAATGTAGATGCGCTTCTCCAGGCGCCGACGCATCGCCTCATCAATGGTCCAGGGATGATTGGTGGCCCCTAGTACCATGACTATCTTCCCAGGGTCAACGCCGACGCCGTCCATTTGCGCCAGCAACGTTCCCTTCGCACGACGCGAGGCCTCATGCTCACTGTTGTCCCCACGCTGGCCGCACAGCGAGTCTATCTCGTCAATAAAAATCGTACTTGGAGAGTAGTGCCGCGCCATCTCGAAGAGAACCCGAATAAGCTTTTCGCTGTCCCCACGCCACTTGCTCGTTAGTGTGGCCGGGGAAATGTTAAAAAACGTGGTATTACACTCAGACGCAACGGCCTTGGCAAGCATTGTTTTTCCGGTTCCAGGTGGGCCATACAAGAGAACCCCCTTCCATGGACGGCGAATGCCCTGGAAGTAATCTGGCATAAGTACAGGATACACAACGGCCTCTTCAAGTAACCCCTTCGCCTCCTCCAAGCCGGCTATATCGTCCCACGACACGTTTATGGGTCCAACATGCATGTCAGACTCAATTAGGGAAACCAATTCCTCTTCTCCGGTGCGTGGCGGAAAGCGTGGAACAGAGGCCCGCAGACCATGCCCTTTAGCCCCACCCTCGTTCACTCTCCCTACGCGTCGCGTCACCACCTTGGCCTTGGCCGCCTGGCGATTCAGCGGAGGAGGGGATGCGTTGGAGGTGCTGCTTCCCGAGTGAAATTGGCCTCGGTTCCTTGGCGGACTGTGGCGAAGAGGTGCGCGTTGCACCCCAGCTGCCCTTTGCTTTCTAACAATGGGGCCCTCAACCGGGCCAAAGCGATCCTTGTCGCCATACAGCGCCTCATTCCTCGCCCCAGGAGCATCTGCTAAACACCGCGGGACCGGCGGAGAGAAGGAGGTGAGAGATACCGCCTTCTCACACTTTGCGGTGGGAGGAGCAGGGCGCGTGGTTGCCGCACGCACAGGGGCCGCATCACGTGTTGGAAGTGACCGCGGAGACGATAACTGCTGCGACGTGTGGGTGCCATCTTCCTCCCTTTGAGCGCGGTCGAGCCGCACCGCATCGGCCGGGTTCACAAGCGCCTTCAGCTCCTCCTGCAAGGAGCGCACCAGTGAGCACTCCTCCGCAATCTTCTCCCGCAGCAGCGACCAGCCGGCCCGCTCCTCGGAACTGCCAGTGCACTCCGCATACGTCTCGAGGTCCTTCCCCAGTCCAGTGTAAAAGGCCACGGCAACGTCGTAGTTGGACTCCGTCGCGTACAGTCGTGCTAAACGCACAGACTTGCCGAGGTCGTCTAGTGCCGCATGCGTCGCGCTCATTCCCCCGCCCCAGAGCCGCTGCGAGGAAGCACCAACACAAATCACCAAACAACAAATATATATATATATATATATATATCTGTTTTTCTATACGCCTGGCTGAGGGCTTGTCCCCTATCCCTGCACACAAAGGAGAGAGAGAGAGATAGAGCACAGCAGTGAAGAGGCGCGATGTTGGTTCAACTGTGCACCCGCCACCTCAAAGAAGATTCTCTCTCACACGCATGCGCCGACAAACACATGCATTCATACATCATATGCTACGATAATCAGGATCCCGTTGGAAACGCAAGGGACGGAAATGTTTAGGGCCCCGCGACCACCGGACACCCCTGCGAGGAGGGCGTTAGTGATGGCGGGTTGGGGCGAAACGAAGGAAAAGGACAAAACACAACAAGACGGCAAAACAGCAAGAAAAGCAACAACAACAAAAGAAAAAAAAAAAGGGACCACACTGGCTGCCGTCCAACGCGATGTCTTTGAAAATAATAATAATAATGTCATAAGGAAAGAAATAGGACAAGAAAAAAAAACCACACGCCCACCCACTGAACTCTACCTGGCCGCGGCCCCCCTCACACACGCTCCCAGACGGCGCCGCAGGCAAACCGGATCAGCAGTCACTGAAGAAACCGATGCCGACGGGCAAAGCAGTAAATCGTAACACCGAAACGGCAGCACCAGCGGCCTTCTTCATGCCCTCTACAGCGGCGCGGCTGCAGCCCAACTTGGCAGCCGCAGAAAACGCGGGGGTGGCACCAACGCCCATACCCGTGCTGCCGGTGCGTGTCCTCTCGCGTGCTGCCATGAATGACAAGCACCGCCCTCACTCCACCTTCTTCTGCCCCCCTCGCTATACATCTATACATATATATATTTCTTTCTCACACACGCGCACATATGCATGCATATATCAGTTGCCGAGGTAGGCAAACAACGTAAACAGCACAGGCAGCAGAGTTACACTCAAGCACGGGTGGTGGGCGTGGTGTGGGGGAGCAGCGACACATTTCAGGGACCTCCACGCCACCGCCGGAGGCGGATTCGCACAGACACACACACAAGCAAACGCACAGAAAGAAAAAAAAAGCCGCCGACAAACACACGCAGAGAAAACAGCAACAACGAAGCATGCGACACTCTCTTCAATGCGATGAGGTAAGCCGTGTACGGTCAGGTGTCGCAAAACAAGAAAACCGCACCGCCATCTCCAACGCAGGAGAGAGGGAGGGAGAGAGAAATGACAAACAGGAAAAAAATATATACTAAAAAAAACCATCAGTCCAATGCAAAAAGAAATAATAAACGATGTTCCTGTCGCCTTCTCTCTCCTTCTCTCTCTTTTCTTTTTCGTTTTTTTTCTTTACCTTTTGGGGGTATTGTGGGTTAGCATCCAAGCCCGCCTCCCACCCCGTCACTTCTGCTCACCGCAGTTTATTTGCAGCACGTAAGCGTGGCGCAGGCCGCTTCTCTGATGTCGGCTCACTCCACACCCATCACGAGACGCACCTAGTTACGAACCATCCCCCTTCACTTCCCACAGGCCCGGGGCGTTCTGCCGAACAGTTTCCGGCAAAAATTGCGTTGTCCGGCACGACACGGCACGGCGACACAGCAGGAGGCAAAAACAGATGCATGGGCGATGGACACGTCCACCCAACCACTGCGTGAGGCAGGGACAGAAATGAATGCATGAAAGCACAACCGTCAAGGAAAGAGAAGGGGAATGCAAACAACCGGTCACCCACGCCTGGAGAGAAAAAGAGAAAAAAAGGGCGTGATCGGCATGTATGTACATAGACACATGTGTGTGTGTGGGGGAGGGGGGGGGGGTGCTGCCGGAGAAAAACACACAGATAAAGGCGGCAAGCACTGCCGGCATGCAGAGTAGCATGTACACGTAGTAAAAGATGTAAAAACAAAAGTAAATGAATCCTGCACAGAGAGACTGCACAAAGAGGTGAGAAGGACGAAAGATACATCAGCAATGCATGGGGGGAAAAAAAACGCAGCAAAAAATAAGCAGTACGCCTTGTCCACACAAACGCCATCAAGCAAAGACACCACGAAAGAAGTGAAGGGGAGATAGAACGAAGCATGAAAACAGTAACAAGTACACTATTACTTTTCATTGCTTAAAAAGCAGCAGAACAAGCACAAGCACAAGCACACAAAAAGCGCCTTTCTTCCTCCCTTTCAGCCGTTTTTTTTCCTTCTTTTTGCAGTACCATCACGCTCGTCAACGGCTTTGCCGCAAGGGGTCCCCTTGGCGCCCTTCACACGGCAGAGGAGGAGTGTGTGTGTGTGGGGGGGTAGGGGGGGGGAAGGGAGGGGACGACACT